AATGATAATAATAGTAATAATAATAATAGTAGTAGTAGTAATAATAATAATAATAGTAATAAAAATAGTAGTAATAAATCCATAAAACCCTAGCAAAAAACTCTATCAATGCTTGTAAATAATCCCAATGAAATCCTGGAATGGATCACTGAAGGTATTACATATCTTATGCCAAAAACGTGTGAAACAGAAGATCCGAAAAATTATAGGCCAATAACATGCCTCTCCACCACGTATAAGTTGATCACGTCTGTCCTGACGAAACGTACTTACTCTTTTTTCGAAGCAAACTACATTCTTCCACTGGAACAGAAGGGATGCAGGCGAAGTTCATATGAATGCAAAGATCAACTAGTGATAAACAAAATGATCCTGGAAAATTGCAGGAGATGATGTAGAAATCTTAGCGTAGCGTGGATTGATTATCATAAAGCCTTTGTTAGTGTGCCACTCTCTTGGATACTTAAGACTATAAAAATGTACAAAGTTTCACCTGTGGTAGTAAATTTCTTTAAGAACAGCCTGGGAATGTGAAATACCGCACTATACCTAAATCACACCAGAGGCACTGCCATCCCCAATCGTCTGAATATCCGACGTGGAATCTTTTAAGGAGACTCCCTGTGTCCCTTTTGTTTTGTTTGTCCTTAATCCCCCTTACGCATGAACTAAACAACAATAGCTATTGTTACAAACTAAACAACAACAAAAAGAAATTCAATCACCTACTCTATATGGATGATCTCAAACTCTTTGCCAAAGACGACAATGAGATGAAGGGCCTCCTCAATATTGTAAAATGTTTCAGTGACGATATAGGTATGGACTTTGGATTAGATAAATGTGCAAAAGTAACAACGAAGAAAGGGAGAATTGCAGAAACACCCTCAATAGATTTAGACTTTGTCAAAAGATTAGGGAACTGGAACAAGTTGAAGCCTATAAGTACATACGAATTAGCGAAGGAGATGGCATACAACATCCCCAAATGAAGGAGAAGGCAAGAAAGGAACACTACAGACGTGTGCGTCTGGTACTAAATACAGAGCTAAACGCAAAAAACAGAATATCAGCCATAAACATCTTGGCTGTCCCTGTGGTGCAAATACAGTTTTACTGTCCTTAACTGGACCATGGCTGAAATTGAGCGAATGGACGCCAAAACGAGAAAGCTTCTAACTTGCTACCGTATGCATCATCCCAAAGCTGATGTTGATTGACTGTATTTGCCCAGATCCGAAGGAGGCAGAGGATTAGTTCAACTAGAACTGTCCTACAAAACTACAACAATTGGCCTTCAAAGATACCTGGAAACTACAGAAGACTGGATAATGATATGTGTCAAAGATCATGAAAGTAGTAAACGTCTTTATTCCAAAATAAAGGAAGCCAACAAGTTCAAAATGGAGCTTCAAGTGGGTGCAAACATACAAGTAAACCACACTACACCGTCTGAAGCTGTAAAATGCTTAAAAAAGAAAGCAAAAGCAAATGCAACCGACCAGATACAGTAATAATGGCAAGATAAACCGCTTCATGGCCCGTACCAAACAAGCTGATGTAGACAATCCTCGTACCCATCAGTGGCTACGTAATGCAGAGTTAAAAGCTGAAACTGAAGGTTTTATCCTTGCTGCACAGGACCAATGATTGTTAACTATAAATTATTAAGCACCCATACTAAAATATTGTGTTAACCCAAAATGCAGATTCTGTGATAAATATCCAGAAACAATTGTATCAGTTTGCACGGTACTGGCACCCACTGAATATAAAACCTGGCATGACAGAGTGGGCCAATATCTGTACTGGAAAATATGCAACTTCTACGGGGAGGAAACTTAAAGAAATTGGTATAAACACCAACTAGACCAGGTTACGGATATAGGACCTGTTAGAATTTTATGGGCCTACACAATACACACAAACAGAACAATCAAAGCTAACCGCCCAGACAAAAAAGTGCCTCCTTATTGATATGGCAGTCCCTGCAGACTGCAATATATCTTTGAAGATCTTCAAAAAGCTATCAAAGTAGAAGGACTCTGAAATCGAAATCTCAAAAATGTGGCATATGGGAACATCAACAATCCCTGTTGTAGTTGGAGCCCTTGGATTGATTGGAAAAGATTCCAGTAAACTAATTGAAAGGGTTTCTGGAAGCCCACGCCTTAAAGAAATACAAAATACAATCTATATAAAATATGTGTCGGTGTGTTTTTTTAATCGGTCAGTGGAAAATGTAATCATGCCATTTCTAACCTTAGGTCTCTGAGCGGGACCCAGAAAGAAATGAGTACGCACCAGAAATCAAAGGAAATCAAATAATAATAATAATAATAATAATAGCAATAACAATTTTATTTTTCATTTTTATTTTTTTTTTAATTCAGACATTTTTTAAAAAAAATTCTCGCCGATTATATGCCACTTGATCTGTCTGCATCATTTGATAAAAAACTTGTCTCTTGAAGTCTCTGGTTTGGAATTGATAACAACTTTAAACTACATGAAGTAAAAGCAAAACAATAATAATGTTAGATAGATAATGAACAGAGATAGATAGATAGATAAATAGATAGATAGATAGATAGATAGATAGATAGATAGATAGATAGATAATGACCAGAAATAGATAGATAGATAATGACCAGAGATAGATAGATAGATAGATAGATAGATAGATAGATAGATAGATAGATAGATAATGAAAATAGATATATAGATACATAATGAACAGAGATAGATAAATAGATAAATAGATAGATAGATAGATAGATAATGAACATAGATAGATAGATAGATAGATAGATAGATAGATAGATAGATAGATAGATAGATAATGACCAGAAATAGATAGATAGATAATGACCAGAGATAGATAGATAGATAGATAGATAGATAGATAGATAGATAGATAATGAAAATAGATATATAGATACATAATGAACAGAGATAGATAAATAGATAAATAGATAGATAGATAGATAATGAACTTAGATAGATAGGTAGATAATGAACCGAGATAGATAGATAGATAGATAATGAACAGAGATAGATAGATAGATAGATAATGAACAGAGATAGATAGATAGATAGATAGATAGATAGATAGATAGATAGATAGATAGATACTTTGGGTTGGGTATTCCGTATAGAGTTATGATAAACAAGTCAATTCACTTTTAATAGATTTATATGTAGTGAGTTTGGGTGCCTCGCTCATATGCCGGGCGAAGCTGAGTAAATATGATTTGAAAATCAGCATTCGAAATTCTTTCTTTGCTTGGATTTTATTCCTGACTACTGTTGCCAGTGATAAATACGCATGTACATCACTCACCAAACACGCCTTACCTACTCTGTACATTCTTCTAATTCCACGTGCCTTGTCCCTTCAGGACGTAGACAATCATGACTCTTAATAACTTTCCATCACTACTTTCTACATTACGATATATTCATAATTTGAATCTTAACCTTGACAGAAGGAACAATTTTAGTGTTGTTGTTTTCGTTTTAAGGTTAAAACTGCAATTCTTTTAATAACGGCAACTTATCGATTACCGATCGAAAACCAGTTTATTTATAGCTGTCATGGCTTCCTCGATGGCGTAGAAAGTTCGCAATCTAACCATGTGAACTACTGTGTTCTGAGTTCAATCTTCATTCGTTGTCCCCATTACTGTAACTCTGTAGAAATCATTGCTTCTTACAGTCTCAGGCAACATTGCACCCTTTTGAATATTTTTAACGGGGACATATGCAAAACATCGACATCGAATTTCAGTTATAGAAAGAGCTCAAATCTGGAAAAGAACGTACACACACACACACACACACACATATATATATATATATACTTTGCGCCTTTATTATATTTGCTTGATCTGTATGTCTTTTTTCGAGGCATCTGCATCGAGCACTTTTTGATATAAGTCCATTGTGTCGTATGAGATTGTTTCAGCCACATAACAGATTTGTTTACACACACACACACACACACACACACACACACACACACACACACACACACATATATATATATATATATATATATATATATATAGATAGATAGATAGATAGATAGATAGATAAACCTAGTGAGCCAGACAACCTACCCAGGTTTCACCCAAGCGGATCGCGTCAGGTTTGTCTGGCTCACTAGGTTTATCTAGGTCTGCTCTACGGTTGTATTGAGCGCTTTTGTTAGTTAGTTGTTTATTCGTATCGGTTTTTTTCTTTGGGCTTCAAACCTGTATCTGTGCGATTTTTTTCGACTTTCATGTTTGTAGCTCTTTCTTTTTAAAACCTTTTTTCCCTCGAGATTGATTTGATTATTGGCTAATCAAAAGTTCGAGGGTTTTTGAAATGATTATAGTTACCTATATTTGTATATATACACACACACACACACACACACACACACACACATATATATATATATATATATATATATATATATATATATATATATATATATATACTATTACTACTGTGTTATGAGTTCAATTTCCTTTCGTTGTCCCCATTATTGTAACTTTGTACTTAATCATTGGCTCCCACCGTGTCAGGAAACATTGCTCCCTTTACGATCCCAAAGAAGCAGTTTTTATGAAGTGTTAATTCATGATCACCATTATAGATGGCCATACTACTATTTAATTTAATAATGACGATACAAACACGTACCAACACACCAAGTCCATTTCTATTTTTTATCATTTCTCTCTAAGAAATGTAATACTAAGACAAGTGGTTACTGAGAGTTAGAAATTATGTGGAACATTTTATTAAGAAGAGAGACCAATAAAAGAAAACAAATTAAGAAGATAGAAGATAACGAGTGACATTGCATTGAATTTTTTAATATCAATGTTGATTGGAAGCAAGAAGACCGGAACATAGTTCCACAAACAAGTATGATAGCATAAAACTTGCTGTTACATCTAGCATTTACAACTGTAAAATAATGAGACCTAACTGCCAATCTAGTACTGCGTTTAAATTCATAAAGTTTAGGTACCATAGAAGAAAGTTAATCAGAACAAATACCTTAAATGTATTTATAAAAAAAATAATAAAGGGAAGCTACATTTCGGCAGTGGTAAAGTGATTGACGCAGGGATGTCAGGTCAGGACCAATAACATTGCAAATTCTTCTTTGGATTTTATCAAGAATCTCTAAACCAAACCAGATGTAGCAGCAATATTCAAAGCAGGGTCGAATGATCGACTTATAAATATGTTTGATAGACTATGGCTAGAAAAATTGGCTAGCACTACTCAGCGAAACCAACTTTCCTATCAGCGGACCTAGCAACTGATTCAATGGAATCTTTCCATTTCATGTCAGTGGAAAACGTCAGTCCGATAACGTGCAATGAGTCACTCTCCTGGAGGTTAGCATCAGCCATGCTTATGGAAGGTAAAAAGATTCTTTCAGACGATTAAAAGAGAGCAGTTTAATTTGGGAGGTGTTACCATTAACAAGCCATTTTTTGCCCCAGTTAACAACAGAATGTATTATTTTTGGTGTCAGCTTCCAATCTGATGTTACCGAACCGCTCAAACTTACTATTAAGATAGGAATAAATGGTTGCGCCATCAGCATAGATACCGAATTGAGAACTGTGTAAATTTTTTTTCTTCTCTGTACCGTGTCCCTTCAAGACATGGACGATAGTAGCTCTCCACAATTACCTGTCTTTTGTAGCTCTTAGTATATTTTGTCTTTTTGCTATCTATCCTAATCTCTGTTCTACAAAACATTCAGACGTTAGGTAGGTTATTCGTTGTTCTCTTCTGTTCCTCTAGCCTTTAATATGGTATGGTGATTTTCAAAGTATAGCTTATATGTGGCACAAGGCCGAAAGTGTGGAGCACCCCATGAAGATCGAACTCCCTATTCAGTCGTAATTGATCTAGCGGGACAAGCTTGCTAACCATTACACCAAGTGCCCTAAGCTTTAATATGTTATGTGAGTGTCAATTCTCCAAGTCTTCTTTTCTTTCTTCATTATGTTTTATAGAAATTTCAACAATCTCTTTCGGATGCTAATTATTTTTTGATTCCATTTTCCTTAAAACGTCGTCAATGCTCACATTTTCAGTCCATAGTATTCTCAGTATCTTTTAGAACCACACTTCTGTTGTATCAAGTCTCTCCTTCACCCGTGAGGAGGTTTCCCAGCATTCACTGCCGTAAAGAATGGCTGAAATTACATAACAGTTCAGGACTCTTTTATTTGTTTCTAACGAAAATTTCGTGTTTCTTAATACTTTACTTAGATTTTGGAAGGCATCTTTCTCTACCCCAATGCACACTCGGATCTCGGTGTCGTATTTTCCGTCCTCTGTTAGAGCACTTCCTATATATTTAGATTTTTGTACTTGTTTGATTTTGATGTGTCCAATTCGTAGTTGGCATTTTGGTCTCTTCCTCTTCATGACAACCACCCATTCTGTCTTCTTACAATTGATGATTAGTCCTTTCTTCTTGCTTTCCTTTAAGATTTTGTCTAGGAGTTCCTGTAGTTTTCCATCTGCGCCTGTTATCAACACAGTGTCATGCGCGTAGCTTATATTGCTAGGATTGTACTCACCAATATCTAACCCCGAGTCTTGTGAATGTCAAATTCTACAAAGCCCGCCTTCATCAGATGTCCAAGAAATTACTCTTGTCTTTGATTTTGATTATAAGTGTCTTTTGTTTTTATTTCCCTTCAGATTTCTTCGCTGCTTATACACTCAGCCCAGGGTATTCTCAGCATCCTTCTGTAGACACACATTTCTGTTGCCTACAGTTCTCTCTTCATCTGTGAAGTGATTGTTCAGCATTAACAGTTCAGCACTCTTTTGATTTTTTTCTAACGAAATTTTCCTCTTTCTTACGATTTTGTTTAGCATTATGGGTCTTCTGCTATTCCAGTACATGTTTGGATTTCCGTCCTCTGTTAAAGCACTTCCTATATATTTAGATTTTTCTACTTGTTTGATTTTCATGTCTCCAATTCGTAGTTGGCATTTTGGACCCTTCCTTTTGCTGACAAGCATATAGCCTTTCTTCTTACATGATTCATGAGTTTAACACGTTTAGAGGTGAGGTCTTTGTAAACAAAGCATTCATTATGGGCACCTCGAGGCGGTGTAATGGTTAGCAAGCTTGTCTCGCAGGAACAATCACGACTGAGTAGTGAGTTCGATCTTCACTAGGTGCCTCCTAATTTCGGCCTTCTGCCACATCTAAACTACGCGTGGAAAACCACTTTGGACACCTCGAGGCGGTGTAATGGTTAGCAATACGCGTCAACTAATGTTCAGTGAATTCGAACTTAAAAGGAGCAACCCACGATTGCTGTCTTATGTCATAATAAACGAATACATATTTGTCCACCTTCTGAATACTTATTGTAAAATCCATCGCATGCTTAATTATTTCAGGTCTAATTGACTTCTTACTCTTATGGTTGTCCGACACTCTCAATTTATGCATTAGGATGATTATAATTTGATTTGGCAAATTGCAACTTTGACATCGAGTATCTTTTAAAACAATCAATTCTTTTTTACAGTTTTTGCTTCCACCAGAAAACTCTTCCTGTTGTCAAGATATCGTCTTTATTTTTGTGCTCATTGCCAATACCAGAGAAAATGAACTAATTCCTGATCGCTGTAGGAAAACAAACTGATTTATGAAACTGTTTTTGTCAACTAGTAGGACAAGAAGGAAGACGACATATTTTACGGCGCGAGATTTAACGAGATTTCATTACGTGGGCCGAGATTAACATACACAAAGCAGACCCACGCGTACAGATCTATTGTGAAATTCATTTCTGTCTCTATCTCAGCATCTAGCTTGTAATAAAATCGTCACTACTAATGTGACATATTTCATTAAGTTTCACGAGTTCATTTTTATTGGTAATCTTTGCTGAAAATGTAAATCGTGTCTTATCACTTAAGTTAAGCAATGTTAGATGTAGTCAGGGACCGCTTAGGAACATTACTACTATAGAAATTATTATACAGATAAAACAATTGCCTCCTTTTGAAGGGGATTGTTATCACTGGCCCCTGTGATTGGCTGAAAGCAGCCTATCATAGCTTCTTTTTTTCCTGTACCACTGAC